ATCATATCATATCATATCTTATCATATCATATCATATCATATCATATCATATCATATCATATCATATCATATCATATCATATCATATCAAATCATATCATATCATATCATGTCATGTCATGTCATGTCATGTCAGATCAGATCATATCATATCATATCATATCATATCATATCATATCATATCATATCATATCATATATATACCATATCACCTCAAGTAATATCTTATCACCATCATCATCATCATCACCATCATCATAATTTACCCAACAGCGGGCATGCTTGGGGTGTGCAATCTGGTAAGGCCGAGGTCGGTGACTGGAGTTTTGGAGCGCTTTCACGGGAAGTTAAGAGACGTGTGTGCGCCACCATTACTGTAGCTCTTTTGTGCCTCGGTAATTCGAGAGTATAGTCGTTGGGGTGTGCACCAAGGCAGAAAACTAGCGCTGGGCAGTCTAAGCGTACGAATCGTGCCTTGCTATGCTGCCGGGAGGGAGGAGACTGTGCGTTTTCGATGCCTTCCAAAATGCACTTAGTTTGCACACTGGCATGTCCGAGGCTTTCCAAGATGCAGGTGTTCGTGGGACGTAACAGCTTGCAACAGGGTTCGCAAATTCACGATAACGAACGCCCCTGTTGGAGACGACACAACAAGACGAGCTTTTGCTCCGAGAAAAGTCCGATGTTACGAAAGTGCATGCTGGTGGCAACTCTTGTCCATGCCAAAAAATCCCAAGCTGCCGCCCCGCTGCAGAACCACTAAGTTACGGGAGAACCAGTTCAATGCTTTTGGCCCTTGCTTGCGCAGCTGCACTTCGCGGTTGATCAGTTAGAGCCTTACTTTTGCAGCCGCTGTTCGTAGTTGAGCAGTCTCGGCCCTTTTTTCTGCACGTTCTTCGTCATTGAGCAGTTTAGGCCCTTGCTTTTGCAACCGTTCTTTCTTTGCACAATGCCGAATCCGTACAGATCAGATGCAAGACATGTTACAGGATTTCAAGCTGGGCTTGCAGCAGGAGTTTGTCCAACCCAGGTCAGACAACAAGCTGATAGTGAAGTGAGAATTTGCTTGAGCACGCGCTAACGCAGCACGTGCAAATCTTTTCGTCCCAGAATCAGGTGGAAATGCTTGGCTCCATCTTGCGGGTGCTGTCGGCTCGGTCCTTGCAGATGGGTCATCGACTGATGTGGGTGGTTCTTGGAGAGATGAAACTGAAATACGATGACTTGCGTACGCATTCGTTTCAATCGCCGGATCGCCCATGACGGCAGAGCAGCTATGTCTGGATCCCGCAGGCTTTTCGGCGGCACGGGGAAGCCATGAGGTCCCCGAAATTTCGATTGTTCATAAAAACTATATGGCTGTCAAACAGAGCAAACACACAGTGTGCCGGCAGATTCGTTCTGGCATTTTCCATCCGATGCAGCCCGTGCTGGCCTCCCTTTACTGATTGCGTTTCCTGGCCGCTGTTTATGCAAAACAGCATCGCTTCTGAGCTGCAGCCCCAGTAACGATGTGCCTGCCGGCTGCCTGCCCAACAATGGGAACATTGCTTCAATTTCATGCGCGGCTTGCTTGTCGATTTCGTTTACACACACGGCTACACGCCGGCTGATGATTTCCCACGCTGTTGGTGCTTGCCAGTTGCCCGAGGTTCAGCTCGCCTGCGACGTTTTCGCGTGTCCCAAAGCCTATGCGCAAATGGGTTCGGATTTAGGAGAAATTTCTTAGATAGTTTGAAGAGAGTTTGATACAAGGTTGAAAAGCAGTAGGGTTTGGAGGGCTCCACTTCCACATTCAAGACTGCATGTAGGTTCTATATTATTCTATATTATGATGAAAGCAGTTGTATTTCGTCTTCTTCTGGTTCTGACTAGCTACACATACCGCAGAGGAATTTGTCTGGCTTTGGCATTTTAACTGGGTGGCTGTGATGACTGGGTCCCTTTTCAGAGTTGTGCGTGCCAGGAGCAACATGGTTTGATAAGCTTCTCAACCCTTATGACCTCACGTATGTCTTGCAGCTTTCATGGCTCTGGTACCTGGCGTGCTGGGCAACATAAATCAGCTGCAGTGGCGCTGGGGCAAAGCGATCTTTGGATGTAGAAAATTACCAGCGAGAGCTCCGACACCATTTGATTGTGGCCCAGTGTGGTTGGGACATGAGACTTGGAACCTGCTTGCTCTTCGAGCTGGTCATGATGTGTGCCAGCGAGACTTGCAACATGCCTGTAAATTATGCCCTGTGTGTCTTGGTTCCCTCAGGTGACGGCCCTCATTCCGGAAGCTTCTCTGCACCAAGCACTGCCAACGGCGGTTAGAACTGATGCCTTCCTTCGCAGAAATTTCTTGCATAGATATCGCCCAGAAGCCGTCAAACCGATATTGCTGGAATACGACAGGACACATCTCACTGAGTGCCTGTCTTATGACATTCCGGTTTCGGGTATTCGGGGTTCAATTTCCGAGCGTGGTGTTTAGTTCAGTCCGCATCACGGCGAGGTGGCTTCTGCCGTTCTCGGGTTTCAAAGAATTGCCGCTGCAATTGACGTGCCGGGCCTGTGGGGAACCGGAGGCTTCTATAGGACATCTGCTGTACCGTGTGCTGTCACAAGCGAAACCTTTGCAACTTTCTGCAACAAGGTTCCTGGCTGCCAGGACAGGTCGTTAAGCAAAGCCTTCTTTCGCACGTTGTTTGGCACGCCAGCAACTTGGCTTAAAGCTCAGAAGTACGTGGGCACGTGCCTTCGATTGGCTTTCTTCCGACCCGCGGCTTTGTTCAAACATCCGGTGGCCAGTGAAAGACCTGAGGCATGACGCTGCTTGCTTTGCTCGGTAGACAACAAGTGGGGCGCGCCCCTTGCTGTGTGTCGGGAGTCAGCTGTTATAGCCTTCTTCCTGGGCGCAGCTGTGCGGTCACACCTTACCGCGCCTTACCTGCTGAGACAAAATCACAATCATCACCATCATCATCATCGTCGACTTCGTCACCGTCAGGTTAACCTTCACCAGCATCTGTCATCGTCATCATTGCATCGCTCGTCACCATTATCAACAACAACATCGTCACCAACACGACCGTTTTCACAACTCATCGCTGCTCGTGTTATATACATAATTTTACCTGCAATTGGAGCTCTGGCCAGATTTTGAGTACAAACTATAATGCACGGAGCTGAGTAAGAAGGCTAGCCCACAGTGTACACCAAGATCCGTTAGCAAAAACTGTTTTAGGATTCCTGCTAGGCTTCGATCATCATAATCTTGACCACCATCATCATCAAGGCACATCGCACGCCCCCCCTTGGACGTTGAGCCTGGGTATTTTGTGAAGTTCATGCCATCATTAAACAACTTCGCGCAGACCAAGGAACATCGGCAGGAATTTAATGCTCGACCCCAGTCGGTATTTGCCCAAATCTGCAGGAGCTGGATGTGGAGGTGATCGGCCTAGACTTGAACAAGTGACATGGCCAGTTTGTGTGTTTGGTTGATAGTGTTGTCTCATGTTTCCTGTACGATTATGCTAGAAACCACCAAGGCCTTATTCTAGCTATTCAAGCCCTTACAGTATCAACGGACCAGTGGAGATGGTTCGTTCAGGTTCTGCAATGCTGAAGCCGGACGTCTCAAAACCGAGTTCCGGAAAGGCGGGTCCTAACTTCAAACCTTCTTTTTGCCAACACCGAGATTTTGGTGCTCGAGCTAGCTAAAGCCTCCAGAACAGCGATTGCCATCCCGCTTTGTAGAACCATGACGGAATACAAGCTGGCAGTGGATTCCACGAAGAAGGCCACGGAGCTGCCGCTCCTGAGGGTCTGCGGCACTGTGCAGCAAAATCCGCATATGCGTGCTTTCTGGGCCAGCACGATCTCTTTCTTCCTTGCCTTCCTGGGTTGGTTCGCTTTGGCGCCTTTAGGCCTCGAAGTTGCGACCAGTATGGGGACGTGTGAGAACCAGCTCTTCCCTCCTGAAGACTTCCCAACGCGACCAGCTTACCTGAAATTCAAGAACTTGAAGAGTGGGCTGAGCTATTGCCAGTATGGGGTCCTCAAGGAGGACGGCAAGCCGGTCGATTGCAATGACGTCCCCGCCGATGTGGCAACCGCTGAGCAGAAGGAGAAGTACAGGCCCCAGGTGCTCACAAAGTGCGTGTGCACCCCGGGCACGGAGTGCAAATCGGTGATTGCGAACGCGGGCGTAGCTTCGGTTGCCTCGACTATCTTTGTGAGGATAGCTTTGGGGACGCTGCTAGAGCGCTTCGGCCCAGTGAACGTTCAATGCGGTTTAATGTCCTTTGGGGCCTTTTGGGTTGCAATGGCGGCCGCGATTTCGGCTCCATGGAACTACACTCTAATCCGTTTCTTCATCGGCTGTGCTGGTGCCACGTTCGTGACCAATCAATTCTGGTGCTCGCTGATGTTCGCCCCCAATGTTGTCGGCACGGCCAACGCCACTGCGGCCGGTTGGGGCAACCTGGGAGGCGGCGTGACCCAGATCTTTATGATGTCAGTACTTTTCAATCCTATGGTGGCATCCGGGATGGAGCCAAATGTCGCTTGGCGTGTCTCCATGGTGGTGCCGGCGGTCATGTTCGTGCTTTGTGCAATTTGCATGAAGCTCATGTGCTGGGATATGCCCACGGCTCGCAACTATGATCCGACCGTGACCGGCAAGACACAAAAGCCTTCAATGTGGGACTATGTCGAGGTGCTGCGTGACGTTCGCGTCGTGGTCATGATCTTCCAATATTCAGCATGTTTCGGCACAGAACTCGCAATGAACAATCAGTTGGCTACGCATTTTCGGACCTACTTCCAGATGGATGCAGGTGATGCCAGCGCCCTGGCGGGTGCTTTCGGCCTCATGAATCTTTTCGCAAGATCTCTTGGAGGCATCAGCAGCGACATTTGCTACAAGTACTTCGGCTTCCGCGGCCGCATTTGGGCGCAGTTCCTGGCACTCTTCTTCGAAGCCATCTTCCTTTTCAGCTTCGGAAACGTGGACAATTCCCAGCCGTGGTATGTGGCCTTGGCAGTCTTGGTTTGCTTCTCGCTCTTTGTGCAGATGGCTGAGGGCACCTCCTACGGCATCGTGCCGTTTATGAATCGGAAGCAGCTTGCAGTGGTGTCCGCGCTTGTGGGTGCCGGCGGAAACCTCGGGGCAGTGATTGCAGGCTTCTGCTTTTACAAGCCGATCCAGGATGCCTTGCTGCCTTTCCAGGTCCATGCGGGCTATGTTATGTTTTGGGCTCTGCTGAGCCCCTGCTACTACTGGTCCGAGACCGGTGGGATGTTCTGCGGACCGGCACAAAGCTTCGAGAAGGGCAAGACCCACAGCAGCGAGTCCGAGTCGTACACAGAGTCCGAGGCCACCAGTGAAAACTGCATGTGAGCTTTAGCCTAGTTCTGCTGCGCTCGAGGCTGAACAGAAAATCCATATGATAATGCGCAATTCGATTACTCGAGCCAGTTTTGTGTGGCAGGTCGGTGTTTTAGCATGGAGTGCAATGCACCGGCGACTTCAGACAGTCCCGCCGCGTGGCAACAGCGGTGCGTCGGGTCTGCCATTGCTGCACCAACTGCCAAGCAAATGACTTGGTACCGCCGGCAACATGGAAAAAAAGCGTGAACTCGCAAGTGAGGGATCAGGGCCAACAGCAGATGAGTTCGTGGCAAGGCGGGTGCAAGATGCATATCCTTGAAGTGTCGTTCTACCAATCTGTGAGTGGAAGCCTGATACGTCTCGCTTGAACCAAGTGTTTTGGAGGCAGACGGATAAGTAGCAACAGTAGCAACACTTAATGCTCACAAGCTGAGGTACATGGATGGCTGGAATGCAAGCGCCACGGATGAAGACCTCTTCTTCACGGCGGCCCGTCAAAGATGCAGTGGGGACTGCAGGAGGCCTAGTAGAGAGTTCAGATACATCTTTTCACAACACACTGGAAGAGTTTCAGGAGGTCAGGCTGGATTGTTTAGTAAGAAGGAACATGGTATGTGCTCTGCCGGAACGAGTTTTTTCGTATCCAACCCAGTCTATCTGCCTGCGTAGATAGAGCTGGCATCGTCGTCATCATATCCCCAAAATCCAGGTCTTACTCTCTGATGCCCCCTTTTAACAATTCTCGGAGAATACCGTGAACCCAAAGTCTCTAACCCGCGGCCCCACCAACTCGAAACCTGACACCCCGAATTAATCCCCAACCCCTAAACCCAAACCCCAACCCCTAACCCCTACACCCTAAACCCTAAACCCTAAACCCAAACTCACAGCATAAAGTTCACACGACCGTGAGCACCAAAGGCCCCAGCTCAAAAAGCCCCAAACCTTCAAGCCGTCTGACTTCACGTGCAGTCGCAATCAAAGCAAACCCAAAACCCTAAACCAGCAGGCTTACAAAGAAACTACTGGTACGATGGACGTCTCAGTAATAAGAGAAAGGGTTTTTGGGGGGCTATAATGTGTAGTATACTTATAGTCTCCAGGCCCTATACTCTACCCTAAACCCTAAACCCCAAACCCCCAAAACCCTAAACCCTACTGTAACCCCCAAGAACCTGTCGTTTTTAAGGACTTCTTTAAAATCATCATCATAAGGAATCCTACAAAAAAGGGGTAGGTTGAAAAATGGAAACCCCACCATCAGCTCTACCCATAGGCCCCAATAGTAGTACCCTAAACCCCTAAACCCTAAACCTATATAGGGAACCCTAAACCTATATAGGGACATCGTTTAAGGCCTAAGTCTCTACCATAAAGGTACATGGGGGTTTCCGAAAAGAGGGGACCCTAATTTTGCACCCTAAATAGTAGGATCCTTATTATAAGGACCCCTAAATAAGGTACCCCCTATTTTCGGAAACTCCCACATGGGGTCCGATGGGTTGCCCCCAGGACTGCAAGGATATTTTGGGGGTTCCTTATTATAGCAAAAGTTATAATGGGCCCCCAAACCCCATTCTAATTATTAAGGCCCCTATATTCAGCCCCCAAAACCCTAAACCCTAAACCCTAAACCCAAACCCCATTCTAATTCTTAAGGCCCCTAATATAGAACCCTATCATAGATCCCCTATCGAACCCTTTAAGGATCCCTTTTAAAGGGTTCTTTCTGCCCCCCTGGACCCTAAACCCTAAACCCTAAACCCTAAACCCTAACCCGTAAACCCAAACCCCATTCTAATTATCAAGACCCCCATATTCAGCCCCCCAGGACTGCAAGTACTCCGCCTGCCCCGAGCGCTGCGTTGAAGCAGCCGAGCGGAGAGCTGAACAGGCCTTCAACCTCGCGACTTGGCTTTTAAGGGTTATAAGGGTTTAGGGTTT